GAGCCTCAAGGTACTAGAGTAGGGAGTTCCCGAACCAGTATAAAATCGGTGTGCATTCACTTTACGCTTTTACTTTTGCATTTTTATATTGCTTCCGCATTTGCCTACATCGTTTTTATTAAACTCCAAAAAGTTTTTAAACGCCTTATTCACCCCCCTCTAAGGCGTGGGCACAACGACTAAAACGATTAACAATTGGTATCAGAGCGGTTTCGTAGTTGAAAGTGCTTAATTGCATCTACGACAAAGATCCACTTGTTGTGTTCCTTTTAAATTTGAATTTTAAGATCTCAAAACGTTATCTACCCTATTTTTTTTAAATTCAAGTTTATTGAAAAATGGCTCAAATGGATTCCCAAAGCATTCACCGCCCTCCATTTTTCAATGGTCAAAACTATTCTTATTGGAAAATGCAGATGGAATACTTTATTCAATCCATTGATTTTGATTTATGGTTGAATATACTTCACGGGCCATTTGTGCCGAGTAATGGTGATTTTGCAGGATTATCTTCGGAGGACAAGAGAAAATTATCCATGAACGCAAAGGCAATCAATATTCTCCATTGCTCTCTCGGCCCCGATGAGTTTGCACGAGTATGTTCATGCAAAACGGCCAAAGAGGTATGGGACTTGCTACAAGCTACTCATGAAGGCGACATCTCAACCAAGCAAACGATGATTGCCCTTGGGAACTCCGAATACGAGTCCTTCAAAAAAGGGTCAAGTGAGACAATCCAAGACATGAACAAGAGGTTCAACGAGATTGTCAATAAGTTGAGTAAGTTGGGTAATACATATACTACTTCCGAGCTTAATACGAAAATTATATTTTCTTTACCTAAAGAATGGCATAGTAGTATCGTAGATTTATTACCCAAATGTGATAAGGCCGAAACCGCCCACATTTGGTCTTCCTTGTATTCTTATGAACTTTTGTTGAGAAAGATCAAAGAGGAAGAAATGCGTGAGAATCCCAAACTTACCAACGCCTTCAAAGCTTCAAAAGAATCGTCTAGTGAAGAGTCTAGTGAATCAAGTAATGATTCAAGTGACTCAAGCTCCTCGGAAGAGTCAAATGACGAGGAAGATGAAGAGAAGGCAATGAGAATGAAGTATACGGATTTCCTCAAATGGAAGAAATATGTGAAGAGGAAAGAAGTATATTCAAAGCCGAAGAAAGAGCGGCATAAGCCAAGGTAAGTTCTTCTAGCCTTTTGGGATAAGATATTTTGTTTGGTTTTAATTATTTTCAAAAATGAAACCTTATCCCATACATGTTTTTATT